ACTTTATCACAAATTTTCTCGATAACTATTTATCGTTGAACACTGATCTTTTTTTATATGATAGAAAATTAAATTTGCTTTCCAACGGTACCAAACATAATAGGTTATTACCAATAAGTCCGGAGTTATTGCCATTAGACCGCTCCGGGTGCCAAAAATCGACCAAAATCTCAACAAAAATAAAAAAAAATATTACTTTAAAATTGTTCTATATAATGTTTTTTGTATGTCCAGAGGTCTTAAAGACTCAAAAAAGTGCATAAAAAAAATTATGAATTTTTTGAGTTTTTGAGGGTGAGTGGTAGTAAAATCGTAAAAATAGTCAATTTACCTTAACAGTGAACAATGTTTTGGTAGAAAACATGTTTTAGCAACACCGAAGCTCTTTTAACCTTTCAAATGCATTGAAATTTTTTCTAATAACTAAAAATTGAAGTCGTTTTTAAATTGTAAGAAAGAAAAATGCATTATTTCAACCTGAGATAAAATAGTAGATTGCATATCGAGGTGAGAAGTGCTTTAGTACTAAGGAGAAACGATGACCACGCGCGAAGCGCCGAGTTTCGATGAAGCAATGACCACGATGCTATTTTATCCACAATCATTGTCTTTAAAGAACAGAAAGCCAATATACAACTTATCAAATTTTGAAAAACCTTGCATGTGGGAGTTCAGGTTGGGAAGTGCTCACTATCTGAGCTGTCATATTACAAATCACTTAAGTGAAGTTGAAACGTTATACTTTCCATCTTCTTACAAAGTAATTTGATTAATGGTTTATGATAGTGGAAAAACTATTTTTCTTTTTTACAGAGAATAACGTGACGTTATTTTTGTTTTTGATTAATACTCTAATAAAATTTTTTATAGCGATTTTTACTCTTAAAATGTATCATTTTTTTATGTTATTGTGAGTTTAGTTTGTTGGGAGGAAAGTTTTGTATGCATCACTGGGATAAACATCGTTAATTCCTCGAATGAAAATGCTCTCGGCTCTTTTCGGTAGCCTCTGGCATTACCTACGTTCTCGGGATTAATGTAGAAATTTTCTTATTTTGAAAAAATAAAACTTATTATTAAAGTTAAAGTGGTTAAAAAAAAGTTAAAGTATAATAATAAGATAAGAGTAAACACCAAAAAAAAAAACGAAGACAGGTACTACGAGTATAACTCATACAAAAGTTTTTATTTTGTAAAAAATAGAAAACAAAAACAATCAAAATAAGATAAAAGGAAACACTAATTAATAATTTCTTACATCAGAATTTAATGTTTTAAAAAATTTAAAACTAATTAAAATTAAGTTGTTCCTTATTCAAATTAATTACAGAATTTAAGTGCAGCTGGTGGTAATTGACTTTTCGTTTTGTAATAATCCTTAAATTAAGCGTTTTTTGAAAGCTATTGCAAAAATTATACACAAACAAAAAATTCTTTTCATCTTCAAACTATAAAGTACTTACTAAATTCTCTGATAACGACAATAGAGTTATTTCTTTGACGTTTATGATCCGGAAATACTTAATAAAATAATAAAAAAACAGATAATTTTGTGTTGTTTATAGTGAACTTTGAGACGTGATATAACACTTTAATTAAATAATTTTTTATTAAGGAAAATTGTTATTTGGGTATTGATACATGACAAGAAAAAAAATGTAAATCAAATATAGGTGTTCCAGAAATAACTGAGACAAAAATGCTAGTTTCAGCCTCACCGATGAAACTCTCAAACTCACTATTAGGCAAGAATATTTTACTGCTATATTTTATAGAGAGAAAATAACAATTTGACGAATGTCTAGTTTTTTTTTTTGGATTTGTTTTATTGCTGTTTTAACGATTATAACTTATTATTCAAAATTTAATTTTTTAAATAGGCTTTTTGATTTAGTACAAATCTTAGTTTCATGTTTTTATTTATTCAAAAATAGGTCGCTAGATTTAATTTTGCATGTGATTAGGTACAACTTTGGTCAATATTACGAAGGCTTGTAACTGTCCATCCCAATGTGAAGACGTATTTTACAACGTTTTGTCGTCTACTGCTTCCCTAGGCCGAGAAGAAGCAGCCCCAACGTCTGATTTTTTGTACGTATCTGTTTCAAATTTAACATTTTCTTCAATCACTAGTTTTCAGCGAGGACCAAAACGTAACAGACAGCAGTATTGCCCTTTATGTTTACTATCAAGGACAAACACAAACGATTTTGTATAAAGACATCATCACTTCAACTATTTATTTGCTATGTGGGTCCAAAACCTTTCATTGTTTTTTTTTTAATTACATTTTTCAGCGTCTTTCGGAGGCGTTTACAGCTTGTTTCTGGGCTGTAGCTTCATCAGTGTTGTTGAAATCATCTACTACTTCACTTTCAGATTACTTGTTAACATGAAATTGATCGGTAGGATTGATAAGACGGATGCACGAGCTCGGAGAGAGGACGCGAGACCAGTTGAGAAGTTGTGGACGCACGACGGCGTTTTCTTAAATTAAAAATCACTTTTGCAAGTTTGTATTTACTTATTGGGCACTAAATACAAATAAATCACTCCACTAAACATTGCTTGGTTGAGAAAATTCCGGCGGGATGAGCACATCGGGATTTTTTGCTTTATATTCACAACAGTTGGCTTCTTGCGGATAATCGCAATATTTTTTGGCATCGTTGAAAGTGAGGCCTGAGGGGCACTTCATGAAGTGGCAATGAATGCCGTCACAGCTGAAGAATGTTCCGCAGTTTTCAGGATTAGGCTTCAGTACTGATGTCTCTTTTGATTGGATTTCTTGTTTCACACAAAATAGTTGTTTTGCGTCGAAGAGATATCCTTCAGGACACCAAACCAGCTCGCCATCCCTGAAGAAAGTCCGGGGATTTGCGTAGTTGGGGGACTGAGTCGGGAAGTGGTTTTGTTTTGATTGGGAAGTGATTATGACCCCGACCGAACTTTCCACACAAACTGTAACGGTTTTTTTATTATGTGATTTTATCGTTTGGGTAAAGTTGGAGAATGAAATTTAAATTAAGTGTACTTACGGAAAAGCAAAATTGTATTTTGCGATATTGAATACATCGTTTGCTAAGCTAGAACAAAGGAATGGGATAGGACTGATAACGCGGACATCGGTTGCGAATTGTAATCATGTAAAATTCAGATGGCTTAGGTGTCACACTCGAGATAAAGTAAATTTTGCGATGATGTCACTTGGAGATAGAGTAATAGTATGTTGTGCAACAAGTGTTGAATGTAGCATTTTTCACGCACAAAAGTCACAAAGTGTGAAAAGTGCATTTCACACGTGTTGCACACAATACTTTTTTTTGACTGCATCAAATACACAGAAAAACACGAATTACGCATGATTTTGTTTTCATTTGTTTCATAAAATTAGCGTGCGAAAAATCTTTGTTGCATTTATGACAAGTTGTGTGAAATAAATAGTTTTCAAGTGTGGTTTGTGGTGTTTTTTACATACTTTTTATAGCGTAAAAAATAATATATTAAAGAACGCGTTTCGTAAGGCAAGTTTTGTACCTAGATTTTATGTTTATGAAACGAGGAGTGAAGGGTAATTTTTATAAAGAACAAATTCGCTCAAATGACTTATCAAACAAGTTTTTTTATGCTATTTTTTATATTTTGTTTGTTTTGCGTACTTTTTTAACATAATAAAAGTTGATTTTTTGAAATTTAGGAACTTTTGCCCTAATAAGAGGTGGTGGTTAGTAATAAATAAAAGTTTGAAAAACTCGATTTTCGAAGTGTCAAGCTTCAAATATTTTTGAAAATTTTGTTGAATTAGAAATGAATACTATGCACACCACCTAAAATGAGAGAAATCGCTCAAAACGCCACTGAAAATCATCATTACCAACCTCTAGAAGTAAATTGTACTAGTCTATTTCAACACCCGAATTGCTCATTAAAGCATCGGTTTTGATATCGAAATAAGCTTTCTTTCAGACGCAAAATAGAAAAACATGTTGTTTACATTTTTAATTCATTAAAAAAAAAAATCAATACTTATAATCTGTAGAGCGATGTTTTAAACTTATAATTTGTCTATAAGAAAAAAAAAGTGGTACATACAATGTTTTACTTTATTTTGATTGCATTTTGCCTCTTTCAAATAAGAATTTAATATTGCCCAAGAATTTGTCATTTTATAGATTTCACATGTTATGATTGGTTATAAAAAAACCCAAGGGCCTATAAAAGCCAAATTTGCCTGTTTTTGGGTGCTTTAAAACAAATTTATAGTTCTAAAATACAATAAATATCGTTATTCACAATCATAATAAAGTTAAATTACTTTGCTTTTGAAAATTTGGAAAGTATAACATTTCAACTTTATTTAACAATTGATATGAAATATAAGAACCATGTTAGGAAGTGGTCACTACCTTATCAGTTGATATATGACAGTTCAGGTTGGGAAAATCCAAAAACTGATGAGAAAATGACCATTTCCCAACCCGAAAATGTTTATGTCGTGTTTTTCAAAATTTTATAATTACTTTATTGGCTTTCTGTTCGTTAAGGAGGATGAAAAATAGTGTACAAACCTTGTGGTCGTTGCTTCATCATACCTCGGCTTATTGCTTACCAATTTCGCCTTAGTAATGAAGCACCTCTCACCTTGGTTTGTAATCTACTATTATTTCTCTAGTAATTTTTTTAAGATTAAGTTTTAGTTTTCAAAACCATAATTTTGTATATTTTAATGTTTTTTTTAATATTACATATTGCAACTATTATGTATAGTTTTTACATATTTTGCCCACTTTTTTCAAATAAAGCATAAACTGTTTGGTTTTTCATATTATAGGTAACGTGCAAATATGCAAATTTTACATAATTTGCTAAAGTGAATTCTTTGAGAATGCTAAGAAAGTTTTATTAAGGAAATCAAAAACTTTAATACATACAAATTTTGATAAAGTTATGTTAAACTTTTAAAAGCCACAATTTTCGTTAAAAAAAACAGGAGCCTGATAGGCTATCGATTTTAATATTAAAAAAACAAATTACATCACATTGGAATTTTACATAACTTGAAAAATGACAATCATTATTTTTAAACAAATTCTTATGCTAAAAGGAAAACAGCAAAAAATCTTAGTAGAAGTCATAAAAAAACAGTCAAGTTTACATTTCATTTTATTCAATCGTTTAGCGAAGATGATTTATCAAATCTGACAGTTGGGTTCTTTTATGTCGGTTTCGGAAGATTTTGTTTTTTATTTAATATATTTTGTCTCGTCAAAGATTCACTTTGTAGTTGAATACAATTTTGCCTCTCTTTTGTTATTTTTGATCGTAAAATTTTTAATCAGAAGGAAATGAAACATTGACAAAAAATAACTTAGTTTCTAAAAATACATTTAAAACAAAGCTGAAAATCTGAAGAGATAAAAGTTTCAAAATACAGCATTTTGGTTTTTCACTTTGTTGTTGTAGTTAGGCAAGTCAGATTATATCTTCGACAATAACTTTGTTTGAAAATCAGATAACAAAAAATCTTATCAGTGGAATCGATTTCCTATCAAACTATCCGCTCCAGATTTCATCAGAAGGTTTGTTTGTTTCAATAGCTTTAGGCTTCCATCAACTAATCTTATAACTCGAGCCGAAATTATTGACATTCGTCATGTTTCAGAGCCCAACTCGTAAAAAAAACTTTAGTTGAAAGCATATTAAATAATATATCTTACAACACGTCGTCCTAATTAGTTTAGAAACAGCGTCTAAAAAATTTTATCGGTGGGAGTATACCCCTTAAACTTCCAACAAAGTCCCAAAGGGAACTGCATTTAATATGGTTTGCTTCACTTCCAGAACTCCACAGGGATCGTTAGGCTCTCTTGAAACACCTGGAATTTTCCCGTTATGATTGACATAAGGTAACATCGTAGGGCCTCTTGAGGCCCCCGTGACGTCGTGAATCTTCCAACTTTGCCTCATCCTCAATCGATATCTCTTACTTTTTTCCCTTCAAGTGCTAATAAAGCGACAAAAAGCAGTCACAGTCCATTATTTACGTTACAAATCACGTTTAATTTAATAACTGCGGAATTTCTATTTAGCATGCAAGCGATAAATCTTGTAACTTGTGACAACTAGCTGACGTAGGAGGAGCGGTAGTTGAGCCACCCGCACCATTACTCATCACATATTAACCGAAAAAATCGCCAAACCGAAAAAGGAACGCTTCGACAGGGGATTTTGCTAAATTCCCTCAAGTGTAGTGGAACAGCTGTCGTCGAGTAAGGATGCGGTTTTAAGGGGGTTTGATTATAAATTAGCTCGGAGAAGTGACACTGGAAGATACACCGCAATGACGCAAGTGGCGCAGTCGGTAGGGAAATTTCCGAAAAAACTAACAAACGTTTCAAAATTCACGCTTGTTTTTATGCCGAAACAAAAACTAGTTACGGAAAGTAAGGGTTCATCCTCTTATCTCGCCTTTTATTAACCTCAAACTTCTTTAAAACTTCCTTTGAAAAGTTGAGTCGGTTAGATTATGGTTATTGAAACGCGAAGATATTAATCACAATTATTCATAAATTACAAACCCTTCAAACGCCTACAGAAAACTCCCTCGAAACTGTTTACTTTCCATGCAATAAAAATTGTTATCTCAGGAAATAAAAGGAAAGATAAAGTTTGCAGAGTTGCCAACACCTGTGCCCCTTTTATCGACTTGTTCGGTTTCGCATTGGACGACGAATATCAAATTTGCAAACAAGTTTCCCCAAATCTGGGTGATGATTAATTATGTGACAAGTTTTCGTAAAAAATTGAATTTCAATATTAATTAATTTAATAGCACACTCAATTTTCTGATACCAAGGTAAATTATATGTGGAGGCTCTCTTTAAATCGAAGTGTAATTTAATTAAAGCCCGGGAGACCACCAACACGAGCCCCAAACCATATTGGGAATTGGCCTTGTAATAATATCATCGATAAAAGTTATTATGGCCGTAGCAAATTTTTAACCATAATAGTGTGCAAATGGCTCCGTAATTGAGTCAGAGATACATATCAAACAACGACTCTAGGGACTCTAAACCCTTTCCATGATGGAGCATGGGAGACTCAATTGGGAGCTATTAGTTTCTTTTTCAGAAAATTAGAATAGAAAGTGTGTTTATTTTTTTGAACAAATTTTTTTTCAGTTTCATGAAATGTCAGCACATTTGTTACCGGAAATTGCTTCGAGACCCGCCCGCTTCACGTTTTTAATTTTATGCAAGACGTAGGATCGAATCAAATTTCATGAATAATCGGTCATTCCATCGCCGGAATTGCGAGCTCCGGTAGCACCGGAATTGCTACTAATTTTTAACCGGAGTAGAGTTCTGTCTCGGCTTGATTAACCCATACCTTTGTCAAAAATAAAACTCTGCTAATTAGGATGTATTTCGTGTTTGTTTTATAGCGATTCGGGTTTTCGGACATAAAATGCACCAAAATGTGGTGTTTATTTCGAGGTATATATGGGAGTAAATAGAGCAATAAGAGCGTGATGAGGTGTAGTACTTGTAATAAAGTTCATAGTTTCACTTTATTACAAGTTCTATTAGAAGGTAATTTACAAAGAGCTAGAACATGTCGAATTATTCCAAGTATTCTATAGTCAAATATTAAATTCCAAATTTAATTGACCATAGATCAGAAGTATCAAGTAAGAAAATTTTGTATTACATAAGAAAAAGAAGTTTGTTGTGTATTAAGGGAATAATAGTATATTATATCACAAGTAGAGAGGGAAATAATAAATGTGAGGCTATTAAAATCTTTAATACCGAGTTTTATATAATATTTTCTTTACTACGAGCATATTTATTACCTTGAAATACAACTGTGAAGAATATAACCTTACTTAATAGGGATGTTGACGTACACTTGGTTGCAAAAAAATCGAAAAATGTCAAAGCAGATTTTTATATTTATCCATAATTTGAACATGGCTTAATTCTAAAAGGTTAAGTTAGAACTGTTAATCTGTAGTACTCACTACTCATTGTTTTTTCACGTAAGTACTCAACTAATTGATTATCTTGATGCTGTCGGCATTAAAGTGCGGCATTGCAGAAAAACATATTTGAATGTGACAGATGACAAATTGACAACTAAATTGAAAAGGGCAAAACCTGTTTCAACCTAAAGAAAATTCAATTTTCCGTTTTTATTGCAACTGTACCTAATATGTCGTAATTCAGAACTATTATTTTTGTTAATTTATTACTTACCTGAGTTATTAACTTAAGTTGGAAGTATTGTTTTATTTGTCGTAAATAAGGTTATGTCATTTTAATATATAATTTAAAATATTTGTTAAAATAACATAGAAAATACAAAGAAAAAAGATAAAGTGTTAAAATTTGCCATACCACCGGTAGTATTACAACATAAAATAACTTCATTTATTATTTTGACAGTTTTGACAACGACAGGAGAATTAGAGGTGGGGTTATTCTAATGCTGCTCAATAAAGAAGTTTAATTAATTTTATTTCGAAATAATTTTATTTGAGAGATAGACGATGTTTATTTTAGAGATGCATACAAAACTTTTCTTCCTGAAGACTTAAGTAGTAATAACATAAAATAATAATAAAGTCAAATAATATGTCAAAATCATTAGTTCATTCAACTGCAATTTTTTAAAAGCGGTATCAGAGAGTTTGTTTTTGTCAAAAAACACTCAAAAGGTTCAATTAATTCATTTCCAGTTTATTTTAAGGGTAAAAATCGGTATTTCATTTATTTTCTTTCCGAGGATATAAAGCGTCACTTTATTTCCTGTTGGGAGGAAACATTTTTTATGTATTGTTGTAAAGATTGTTTCGATGAAGCATTTTCGAATTTGATTTTTTTGGTCGGAAGGAAGCTTTTGGGTCCGTGTTGGCGCAGGTCCGGGCGGCGTCGCGGCGCAAAACGCCGTCCCGGGCTCTAGTTTAGCGTCGAGACGCGCGCCGTATACACATCCCGCATCCCACACAGCGATAATTACGCGTCCGCCGGTTTAACCGGATCTGGAGATGAGTGCGTGAACCGGTTAAAACCGTATCTGTGGTCACTTGACGCGAGTTGCGGGTAATCCCCGAGTGTCTCGAGTTGTGTACACAAATTACCACTCCGGTGACATTGGAGAAGTTGGTGTATTATAAATTCGCGCCATTTGCAATTCAAATTTCTAATTCCGGGCGAACTTTTGGGCCGGAGTTTGTTATTAAAAATTCAGATTGCAGATGGCTACGCAGAGAGTCGCCGATGTTGCGATGACAGTGAAGTGAGTTGCTCAACGAGTGAAAAAATTCGGAAACATGGTCCAGGAGGGATTTTTGATTAAGATCGCCATCGTCTCGATGTTCATATCAACAGGTAAAGAATTAAAAAATAAAATAAAATAAATTTTTGTTGGGACCAATATTTATTTCGATTTTTCAAATGCCGATCCGAGTTGGCTGCGTTATCCGATCTGTCATATTTCCTCGGCATTCTTGATCCATTTAAAGTAGTTTTTTATTTAAATTTGGAGGCTGACATATGACGTTGGTTTTATTGAAAAATTCATCCATTTCGCCCGTAAAACACCAAGCTTTTACGTCAGTTTTGATCGATTATGGCAAATTTTTTCAATGCGAGGGAGGATTCAGAGACACCGGTGAAAAGAATAAGAGATGTTCGAATTTGCACTTAGAAATTTACGATTGATGGCTTGGGGGAGAGACATTTTTAAGGGTTGCTAGATGGAGCTGATGTTTATTTTGTGTATGGGGTAACGAGGGGGTTACGAAGACGTTATTACGCTGTGGTCGTGTGTACACACGCAAAGTACGTTCAAAACTGGATAATAAGACACTGGATTTCCACAAAATTACAAATTGAATTACCTCGAGCGCAGTTGGGGATTTTGAGTTTACCCCATAGTTTTATCACAACTTAAAACAAGCGTTCTAATAATACCTACAGAGTGTGTAAAAACTCCCGCCCAGGAAAAAAAATTTAAGCAAGATAAGATAGAATTCTATATCTGTCAACAAAATTTGACATTTATTTTTTGACATTTGACATTTTTTATGTCTAATTAATGACACTGATGATCTTGTATATGTTTTTTTTATAATTATTTAGTAAAGATACAAAAATTTTGCCAATAATAAACTTGCAAAATTATTGTTCCTACAGAAATAAATAGAGGCAAAGTGCAAAATTTAAATTCTCATAACTTCAAAATTTTTATAGATAATTTAAAAAAAAATTTTTTTCATGTTCTTTGTATCTCCCCTTACATGGCATTTTTCTATGGGCGCAAGTTCTGGCGCACTCTGTATAAACTACAATTTTAAATTTCAAGTATTGCATAAATGCACTTTTCATATTTCACAAATTAACTCATCAGTAGAATCGGTTGAATACTTTATAACTAGTAATTGAACGAATGAATAGTTGAAACTAAACTGCAATTAAATATCTGTCAATATTTAACAACTGAAGTTATTTCAAATGCAAGTTTAAAATGGTTCAATTTGCGAATAGAGCTCATTCAAGTTTATCTAGGTTGAGATTATTAATTAAACTTTATTTTTTGTGCAAATATCTGGTGATCAAGAACGGTTGTTTGAGTTGGCAGTACTGAGTGTTGTTTTTAAATGACAGATTGACAACGACATAACCTAGTTTCGTCAAATATTTGTGAAGCTACACTATATCAGGTTTTGTTTAACTTTGTTGCCAACTCAAACACTTATTGTCGATAGTATTTTCGGAATGTAGACAACGCATTTGTCGTATATTATCAATGTTTTCCGCCAATAATAGTGCAATAAACAGAGTGATTGATTCGATAATGCGTTTGATTATTGAATGCTCGAACATTGACCATTCATATTTTTCCATAAATCACTGAAGCTGAATGAGAGGCTAATCGGTTTAACATGCTTGGTTAGGTGTTAAAAAGTTCTGATTCTCAAAGTTTTTGTTTCTAATGACTAATATTCTGTCACAAACTTTACACTATAACTTATCTGATGTGTTTAAAACACTGAAAGCCAAAAAAGCATCTGGGACGTGAAGATTTATGAACTTTCAAACCTTTACCGACGTGTTGTGACAATATATTAACTGTAAAATTCCGATTTTATTTATTTTAAGTTAAGTAAATGTGGATCACAAAATTCGAAACATTAAGTACTTAATTCGAAGAAAATGTAGAAAAACTCATTTGTTTCGTTTCTTGTTAATTTCGATGGTTATCGATGAGGTCGTGTCACTTCCAGCAGCAGATGTCGCAAACGACAATTACAAGTCTTGAATTTAGTATTTTCATGAGTTTCCTTGTAAATAATTCGCTCCAAAGTGGATATTTTCGACGAGAAAAAGCCAAAGTTGGGTCAATTGGACCGTTTTGACCCCATTAATATTCGGACAAGCGTCAAACGACACACACCTGAGACTTGCTAAGTGACCACAGGGGGCTATCTCAAGTAGAGAATTAAAGCGTGTAGATGTAGTACAATATTCTAATTTTTCACAAAAGTAACGAAATGTCACAAGTAAAAGTTTTCAGCCATGAAGTAAAAATTTTATTTTTGCGCCTAAGTGTTTTTACTTTTACCATAACAGTATTGACATTTACCAATTTCGATTCTTAAAGTTTCGCTGCTTTAGCAATTTTTGGAGAAGTACATTGTAGATTATCTAGCACTACCAACTGCACTAGTCATGCAATTATAAACACTTTCGAAAATCTCAACACAAATTCCGATATTGACTCATGCTATTTGTTTATAAGCGTTGTTATGATTTCATTACTTGCAAAGCCTCTTGATTGTTTTGTTCATTTACTTGCTAATTATAGTGTTGCACTTTATTCTCGATCTGAATACGTTTGCGGAGAAAATAGTGTTATTCGGAGTAAAAGTGAGTTTATACAGGCTGTTCCGGCTAAACGCCACATTACAAGTATTGGGAGTTCTGAAAGTGATATTTATCTAAAATTGTGACTATACCCATGATTTTTTTAAATTCTGCTCAATAAAAATATTTTCAAGATGGCAGCACTTTTGGTTACACCGGAAATGGGTATCAACTTTGTTATTTTCGATAGAAAGTTATGTTTTTTATTGCTTTTTTGGATTACTCAAGTGGTTTTGAGTAAGTTTTTATCAGACTTTCCTACATCTAAATTTAACCGTTTTTAAAAATCAAACTTGCCTATACCTAAATTTAACCGTTTTTAAAAATTTGGACTTTTTTGATTTTTTTTTATTTGCACTTTCCTCTTCAAAAATCTATAACTCTACCATTTTTTATTATGTTGAATTCGTATTTGGGCATATGAAAAAGAAAGGTTAGATCTTTTCTTTCGTGTAGGTATTTATAAATGGAAAAATAATTAATAAACCTTCAAAATTTAAGGTTACGTTTGGGAAACTTCAAATACCCGTAACTGATTTTTCTCAATTGAAAGGTCCCAATTTTTTCTTCATTAAATGAAAGATAATTTAATTTTGCATCGATCTGTATCAACATTCCCTATACCTAAATTTAATGATTTTCAAATTATTTTAATTTTTTTTACAATGGAAGAAATTCATTACTATTTTTAATATCCATGGTAGTTTTCACGTAGTTTGCCATGGAAAAATTTCTCACTAAAAAACGACAAGTTTATTTTCACAATTGTGTTATTCTTTTCGTAAATATACATTAAATTTATTTAATTTAAATTAGAAAAAATTGGGGTGTTTTTAGAAAAATTGAGTTAAGGGTATTTGAAGTTTCCTAAACGTAACCTTACATTTTGCCGGTTTGTTAATTAGTTTTTTTAATTATGAATACAACAAAGAAAAGATTTAACCTTTCTCTCTCGTATAACCAAATACGGTTTCAACATAATAAGAAATGGTAGAGTTATCGATTTTTGAATAGGAAGATTCAAATCTAAGGAATTTTAAAAAGGTCTAAATATTACAAAAACTGTTAAACTTAGGTATAGGGAAGGCTAATAAAAACTCTCTCAAAATCACTTGAGTAGCCCAAAAACGCAATAAAAACATAGCTTTCTTTTTAAAATAACGAAGTTGAGATTCACTTCCTCCATCATGAAAAAATATTTTCATTGAGCAGAACTTAACCGATTAAAGCTATAAACAAAATTTTAGATAAAAATCATTGTTAGAACTCCCAATACTTCTAATGTGGAGTTTAGCCGGAACAGCCTGTATAGCGCCCTGAATTATTTGCCTCACTACGTTTGCCAAAAAAATCTTTTGTTCCTAACAACATAATATATTATTTGGCTGATGTGATTGGGAGTTAGTTCGTTTTTGCAATTACCATATTCATAAGACTTGAATAATGCGAAGATATGGTGCTGATGGAATTTCGATATCCACACGTTACTTGCACGTAATGAATGTGGGGCGGCTTGGGGGCCGTCTGATCGATTTTAATCAAGAGATGGACATCCGTGAAGAAATGCAGAAGATGAGACTGTTGTTATGTGTAACTTGACTTAATTTAGAACTTGTGTGAGCGAAATTATCAAATTTCGTAAACGTTAAAGGAAGTCTCCGGAGCCGTGAGTATGCGAAAGACATTTACATTAAATTTAATTGTTAACGTCTCAAGATCAGATGTGAGGAACACAACGCAATTGCTACTTTTGCTGGAAGGCGAGATAAGGAAACATGGAATTCTAATTAATAATAAATTTCTTCTTAATTCCACTTCTTTTCGTGCTTTTTTCTTTGTTTTATTATGAATTGTATGCATAATCCGTCCAAATTGCGATGTTTGTTTACAATATTTGTGCCATTTCTTTAATGTTGTTGAAACTCAAATTGAAATATGGCGAGTTTTGCAAGTTTTACAATAAAAGGAAAGCGCAGAAAATTGCAGCAATATTTTCAAGACACTTTACGACCACTTAACAGACTTCAAATTTATGAGTAAAATTGCCAGTTTATTAATTTTTTATTTGTGGAAATTTTTGATGAATTGCTCTAAAATAAAAATAAAGTGTTCAAAATGTTTGATTCTCCCATTAAGTTGTGTCAAACTTTGTCAATTTTGTAAATACCTCCAAGTCGGGTGTTTTTCTCAGTTAATAACTTCACAACTTGTGCTTAATGTCGTCGCAACTCCTCTTTGATTTATGATCAACTTTGAAACTTTTCGTGTGACTGAAGAAAATCGTGTCGGAAATCAATCAGACTCTCGTCAAATCTCTGCAATAAAAAGCGTTGTTCGTTTCCCGGACTCGTACTTTAATACCAACGACAATTGCGGGATGCAAGTCCGGAGTCGTCTCGTAATTATTTCGCGGCGCGAATTTCTCCGGGGACGATGCATCCCAAGTAATGAAAATAAAACGA